TTTTTTTTTTTTTTTTTTTTTTACATTGAAGAGTGTATGTCATTACACTTCTTTCGCTAAAACGTAGTCCAAATTTCGTCATTAAAATGATAAGTAAATGATACGTAGAATAAAAAATTACCAAATTATATTTTTCTCTGTCTATTTTGTCGGTCTATAATTTTTATTTTTTATTTTAAAATAGAAATATTTTATTTCTTATTTTTAAAAATATAAAATTTTAGTTATATTATCAAATTCATGTTTATTAATTGTTAAATTTTGATATTGTCCAATAATCTATCATCATTTAATTTATGTGATATTTAGCAACATGTTATATATAGATAAAAATAAAAAAAATAACATATAAAATATTTTTATTTGTAATAAGTGTTTAATATTTATTTTATTAATAAAAATTTTATTTACATTTTTTAGTTTTTATTTCTAAATATCATGTTACTTAATGTGATATCATTTAATTATGAGTAAATATTAAAATTTAACGATAAATATATGTTAATTTGATGATAGGATCAAAATTTTGTATTTTTAAAGTTAAAAGACTAAATATATCTATTTTAAAATAAAGGATCAAATTTAATGATAGGACCAAAATTTTATATTTTAAAAAATTAAAAGACTAAATATTTCTATTTTAAAGTAAAAGATTCAAAATTGAGGATTGATAAAAGTAAAGAGAACAAAAGTGCAATTTAGTCTATAAAAAAAAATCAAAGATATCACTATTATGTTTGTAGAAAATTGAATTTTTAACTAACTAAAGGATTTGTGATTTTTTTTTTCTAATTTATTGTCATAAATAAAGTCTCTTTCTGTTCAATTATCTTTCCTTTTCCTTTGGGATATCTATCCAATTTTTCATTTAGCTTTCTTATAACGATATGACGAATTTCTACACTTTACAATTCAACATTCTAGGTAGCGAAAAACATAATTCTAATTACTTAGAGTTATCATAAAAATAGTTCTTAAATATACATATAACAATTTATATATATATACATATATGTATATATATATATATATATGTATGTATATATATATATATATATGTATGTATGTATTTATGTATGTATGTAGGAAAAATAATTAACTAAAGACACATTTATTCCCTAGTGTAACTACAACATAAATCTTGCACATATATAAATATATATCAACAATAATTCAAATGAAAACATAGATCCTCGTCATCATCAGTCAAGCAACAACTAAAACTAGTTGCATCATAGTGTAGCCCAAAACAAAATTCATCATCCTCCACCGTGGCCCTCAAAAGTGTACAACCTTTATCTTATTTTTTTCCTTGCTCCTATAACAAACATGATCATCGCAGTCTAACCACAAGAAAAATACAAAGGTAAGCTTACATAAGACAAAACATTAAGTACAGAAGTAAAATACAATTATTGTAACGACTCGTCGTGGCCGTCACACTACGGAACAACATTACACTACTAGAATATATATACTAAAATAGTATATTAAAATAATTACAACACAAGTTGCTAATCAAGCAACCAACAACAACCAGCTATATACAACAAAATATGCTACTATAAGGTAGCCTACAAAAAAATCCAACTTCAGGCATCTCCTGTGGCCTCTAGCAGTTGTCTCCTAGCCTATCCTTGTCCTGCTCCCATACATCATATGATCATCGCAGTTCAAACCACATGGAAACATACAAGGGTAAGTTAGAGACAATAAACAACTTATAATAATTAAATATGCAACACACCAACTATATAATCATCTTCACATCCAACATAGAAGACAACAACACATATACTATACATCTTAACATCATTTCAACTTGATTCAACATATCAACACTTTAGCAACACTTCAACGCAACTATTGTACAAACCATTGGAATAGTTACCATATTCATCATAACAATAACCAACACATGTATTGCACACCTCTCAACAACACATGTTTAAAAGCAACTTACAACACATGTAATCTAACAACGCTAGCATCATCATCAACTTGTATACAAATAAGCAACTTACAACATAACAACACTATCATCATCCTCAACAGGGTCAACATACAACATAATCACAGCTTAACAACACAACAACATATATACAACTCATATCAACATCAATTAAACACATCAATAGCTTATGCGTCGTCACACATTTCAACTCGAAGATCTCCTACAACATGGGTGAGCAGTCTAAGTGACTAAGTCCTACTGAACCGACAACAAAGAACCTTTTTGGGTTTGCTAGGTAAATAGAAAATTTGGATACCAATCCATAACACGATAACGATTTTTCAGACTTTGTCACTTAAACAAGGAAGTATAGTACTATGTCAGGATAGAACAGTTGGGTTTAGGCCTACCACGACATTAGCTAGCTCAACTAAGCCATTTATGGGATTAGCCTATCGACTATCCTCCAAATACTACAACCCTCCGATACTCGGTTAGGAACTAAGTTCTTGACTTCGTACTTTACTCAAATTGGCCGCTTGTAATCGGTATAGCTTGACTTGGCCCCTATACCGTGGCCGCTTTGTACATGTGTGCCTCGACCTTGCCCACACACGGGACCAACTAAGTTCTAGAGGAGAACAGTACAACGTCCACTCCAAGGGACAACTTCCCAAGGAGGGTTTTCAACAAATTGGGCTCTCTGAGTACCACAGCTTTCTCAATCCACACAATGGGATGAGCAACTTCAAAAACATCTCCCCTAGTCTTAGTGATCAACAACTCATCATCACAGCTTAATCAGCTTACAACTCAACAACACAGATCAACTCAACAATACAGCTCAGCTTAACAACTTAAACAGCATGATCAACTCAGCAACACAGCTTAGTTCAACAACTTAAATAGCATAATCAAATTAACAACTTACCGGCTCAACTCATAATCTACAACTCAATCATCATAAAATAATATCTTTCAGTACATAGTACAACATACAGCTTTCATCACACAGCTACATCTTCTCATCATATCATAATATATAAATGGTCCACACATAACATATAACAACTTTAACAACATATCACATATTCAACACGTTTCCATTTAGCACAACAACTCATTTAACACCTATACACAACTACACAGCTCCACAACTCAACTACAACATGTATCTCATTTACATCCCATCTTCATCACAAAAACATCACCAAACAACATCATTACTCAATATTATCAACACAACATTTTTATCGCATAACACAACTCATACTACATGTTTACAACCCATCTATCATTTTAACTTACCCACCCAAACAACACCAATCAATCTAAGCACCTAAAACAACTTTCAACTTAACCAAATCACTACTTGTGAAATGAAAACCTTCACATAAACAGCATATCAGGAGTTATACTACTCCTACCATTCTCATCCTTATCTCATATGAAAGATAAGAATATTTCCTACAACTCTCATGAAGACACCAAGTCCTAATTCCTTCATCTACCTTGTTAAAAATTCTAAAAACCGCAACAACTAAAACCAATGTTGGGAGCTTGACCCCTCTTCACTAAAACAACCATATCTGGAGTTCTAGACCTCCTTTTTGGGTAATTCTAGTGCCATTGGAAAGCTAACATCCAAGGATACAACTTTCATGAAGACTTAAAGACCAATATACTCACACCCGATGCATTAATATCACGCCCGGCGTAAACTCAAACATAGACTCACAAGAATCTCCACGCCTGGCGCGACTAGCCTCGAGCCCAACATGATTTAACAATGGTGGCCCCGGATGAATGCAATTCCGGTGCCAAGAACTGAGCCCGGCACATATTCAACCAGAAACCTCTAAAAACCTCGAAAATCCCTTCAAAACCTAAAAATCAGCAACTTCAACCACATGCAATCCATGAAATGCAACATATAGACTCCCTACAACTCAAAAACGAGTTCAGATTCAACATGCAACAAATCAATGCATCAAAATTGAAAAAAACCCCATTTTTCCCAAAAACCCCAAAAATGAGGAAATCAC